GTCAAAATATGGAGACAATTGTTAATTATGTAGACATAACTTTAATAAAACCTCGAGGGAGGTTCAGGTACCTGAAAATAATAAAAATTAAGAGATCTCTTAGTTATGCCATTTTATGAAAAAGTTGAAACCATAAAGATATAGTTGTTGACAATAGTTTGCATAAAATGAAATGATGAAACAAGACAAGGATCTTGAAGCTAAATTTGTTGATGATGATTGGCCAAAATATAAAGACACAATTCAAATTTAAAGTTTTTGGACCTACAGTCCAAACACGAAGGTGCAATGCCAGCGGGGTACAAATGTGCATAAATTATAATGAAGTTGTTATAGCACAAGAATTTTGCAAAAGCCTGGCATTTATTATACGAAAATATATTCTCTTGTGGTGGATGCGACCACCTTAAGATATTTTAATAATCCGATAGTACATGAAAAGGTCGACATGCGTCTAATAGATGTTATTATAGCCTATAAGGATACAAAATGCTTGAAGCATATAAAAATTCCCGAGAAATTTGTTGAATGAAGCTTCAAATATTAGTAAATTGATTAAAGAAATAAAAGACATGTGGTATAATCGCCTTAATAAAATCAGTTGACTTATTATTTAAAGAGATTTTATATGGATAAAGCAAATCCACTGAGTACCCCAATGGTTATGAGATCACTTGACATAAATAAGATATCAATTTTAACCCCATGAAAAATAATGTAAAATTTCTTGGTCATGTCTTATCTCAATTCAATCAGGGCATAATATATAGCATGAAAAAGGAGATTAATTATATGGCTCAGTTAAGGGGGAGATATTATGATGATATGTACTCATATGATAACTATAATTCAGAGAGAGAGTTATAAGAAATGCACTATTTTTCCCTTCACCAAATTTTTATCTCATTGGGTTTTTCTTGTGAAGATTTTTAATGAGACATTCTATTAGCATATAATTAAGAGTGAACATCCAAGAAGGAGCTATGAAAACATTAATAAAGTGGAAGTTCAACTTTCTAACCCCACATCTTCTCCTCTTATATCCTCACATTTCTTCTTTCTTGTTTGTGAGTCTATTAGCAGGATCTAACTTTTCTTCAACACGAAGATACTACAATAATAATAATGCATGTTATTTACTTGAACCACTTTGTGGAAGCACAACTATTTCATGGAGTTCAACAAATTTACTCAAGAGATGATTTGGCAGACATCGCTTAACTTAAGTTTTGAGAAGCTGATATATAAGGCTCAGAGACATTGAATGATGTTATAATCAGAGGGAGTAAAATATATGCTGCACTCTTTTTTTCTTTACCAAGTTTTTATCTCACTGGGTTTTTCTTGGAAAGATTTTTAATGAGGCTGTCTATATTAACATATGAAAGGTAGTATGTTAACTATGAATATTGTACTATTTTTCCTTCGCTAAGCTTTTATCCCACTAGGTTTTTCTTAGCAAGGTTTAATGAGACATATTCAAAGTGTTTAGTCATCCAAGGGGGACTGTTGTAAATATGGTTGATTTAAACCATGTTACCGTTGGCAGTAACAGTACAATTATGAATGACGTTAACAGTGTAACTATCTTCCATTCATGATTATGTAACTACCGCACTAATGGATCATTACTCCCTTATTCATGGTTGCAATCTTATATATTGGCATTTGTTTGTATTAGAGTATACAGATGAATGAGAATTATATTTTTACTTTTTATTGTCTTCTCTCTTCCATTTCTCCATTTATTTTATAACAGATATGACAAAATCCCTTTTTAATATAAACTTGACTTTTTTCGTATTCTTGCCGCCCAAATCTTAATTTGCACATTATTGGTTCTAGCCTTAAAGTAGAAAAAGAAATAAAGGGCATGTTTAAAATATGTTTCGAAAAACAATTTTTTTATTTTATTTTCAGAGCAAAAAATAAAAAAACTCATTTTGATAAAGTCTATTTTGTAAAAATAAAGTTTTAAAAATTGTAACTGTTTTTTTGTTTTTAAAATCAAATTTACAGAACATATCTGAGTTGTTTTTATTTTGTATTTTGTCTTTTAACTTTTAAAACAAAAAAACATAGAAACCATCTATTTCATTAACTAGTCTACAAAACAATTTTAAAAATAAAAAAAAAAACTCAAAATATTTGTCTTTTGTGTTTTTTTCTCCAAATATTTTTTATTTCTTTATTGTGATTTTATTATTAGGAGGTAGTCGGAATTTAATTGAAAGTTGTTTATTTTTATTATCATTAATTAATCGTCTCTTTTTTACTTTTAATATTTAATATTTCAAAAAATAAAGAAATAAAATTTATTTGATTATATAATTAATGGAAAACACCCACTACATAATTTTCATTTTAATTTCAATAAAGTAATACGTGAACAAGTCCACTAGGAATTAGTACTTCTATGTGATTTATTTTTCATTTAGACTGTAAGATCCTCAATTGCCCAAAAGGCAAAGGCAATAAACATAAAATAATACTCTAAATCTCATACGATTTTTTGCAATTTGAAAATTATGCTTCATAAGGTTGTTACTTAGTCATATTTCCATATATAATAAATTATGATTTATGATTCTGCTAGTTTAGCAAAACTGATAATAAAAGTCACTGACTTACTGGATTTTTTTTTTTTTTCCTTCCATTTTTTGTGTCGTTCGGTTTTAATCGGTTTTCATTTCTGACTGAGCTAATCCTGAGATATGTTTGTAAGTATTCATAGTTTCATACTGCAACAGTCTAGCTAGGCATATGTGTTACGTTTGTTTCATTATTCAACTGGTAACGGAGCCTTCGTTGGCAATCTGTAACAATTATTATCTGCTTTTGACATTAATGGCATAGTTGCAGCACTCATTTTAATTGAAAAAACATGTTAATAGTACACATCTCATTATTGCCAAGGACACACTATCTGTGCAGTACAGGCCACGAGAATATATGTACCCTTGACCGTGGAAATATTCTTCAAAACAGAAGATGAAAAAACAATGAAGATATGCTCTTATTATTCCCTGTAACACTATCATATTCTGTCCAATATGTTTTGTATTGTTTAGGTGTTATTTCATGTGGTTTGATTTTTGCTCATTAGTGAAATGTGGAGATTAAATTAGACAACAATTAATCTAATAATAAGTGGGGATAAAAACAATAGTAGAAGTTAATCTCGAGGTTGACTCAATTGACAATAAGAATTTCACTAAATGGGGATTTGAATTATCTAGAAAATCTTTGGGGAGCTGATAATTGTCACGCTCATGGTAGTTAAAATCTCAATTTAAATCTTAGATTTTAAGATTTTTTTCAATCAAAACGATTGTACCAAAATTCCAAACGTTTTTACGACTTTACGATTTTTCTTACGTTAGGATTTTACGTTTTATGATTTTTTATCATCCTTTCGATTTTAGGTAAAATCTCGATTTTAACTACCATGATCACGCTGCTTGACTCGAGATTAGTCTTATATTTGTATGAGCCTTTTTTCACCAGAATTTTGAGGATATTCGAAAAACTTAACTCACCTTAAAGAGATAATTAGAATCATGAAATAAAAAACATCAGAAGTTGGATTTATTTTCAAAATATTGCTTTCTCATTGAAATGTATGATGTGGGGGAAATGAAATGATAAAATGTGACCCCCATAGGAAGTTGGTTGCAATTAGGGGTGTAAATGGGTCAGGCTGGCCCAGCCCAGCCTACGGCTCGGCCTACATTGAGCCCAGCTCAGGCCCAGCCTTTCAGGAAAGTAGAGTAGGCTTAGGCTTATAAAAAAGTTTTTTTAATAAATAGGCCATAGGCCAATTTTGTCAAGCCCGGCCTACAGCCTTGTAGGCTGGCCTATTTAATTTATTAAAATAAAATATATATTATTATTATTTTATGTGGCAAAGACACAAAGTACCAAATACCAAAATCTCTTACTTTTTGTGCTATTTTATTTTGTGAAAGAAAAACTTGTATAATGTCTCCAAATTTTACATGCTGTTGCAGCTTAATACCATGGAACAATGGGTACCTTGCTGTATTATGATGTTACTGATGAAGATCTTTCAATAATAATCTTCTTTCCTTTGTCTTGATGGTGGTTTAAAGATTTTTAGATGAATGACATTCTCTTGTAGACTTTATTTCAACATCCAGTAATTGTATTTTTCTTATTTTTCCCATTTCTTCGACTCTATTCCTCTATGATATACATTCTAGAGCTGAGGTATTATGTTAACTCTTTCTTGTTTGTCATTTTTTTCTTATGAGAAGTACTAGTGTATGCATGAATGAAACTTTCTTTGCTCTATACATTTATTTTTTTTGTTTAGTATATATAGTGGGAGGCCTACAAGGCCTGTAGGCCATGTCAGGCTTTCTTATTTTTGAAAATGGGCCGGGCTTGGCCTACAAATAAAGCCTTTAATAGGTCAATAGGCCAGATAGGCTGACTTTTTTTTGACGTAGGCTTGGGCCATAATGGCCAAAGCCCAGCCCAGCCCAGCCCATTTACACCCCTAGTTGCAATATTACACTACCTAAGGAGTAAGGACCAAGAACAGCATTTTAACCTCACACTGCAAATATATCCAACACACAAGAAAAATTTTAAAATAACATAATAATAAAAATAAAAATAAAATAAAAAGAAACTAATGATTGTGCAGTTATGGGTTGCTTTCAATGCAACTTCTTGAAACATTGGATGGTTAATTTTGTACTACTCGGCCTGATAAGTTAGTCAAAAACAACTTGTGGGCCCAATTCACTGGCAGGTGCAAGATTCTCAGTGTCGGAGATATGCTACTGATTATAATGATACACTGCAACCTAATTGATAAGGAAACTTGTCGTGTACCATGTGCTTGAATTTGGGAGACCGTTACAAAAAGGGGAACAACATAAGAAGGTCTATGTAATGTAACAAAAACCATCACAAGTGAAGTTCCCCATAACCAGAATCCTAAGCAAAAGCTGCATTCATATGAGGAGACAATGAGTGGTTTGAGGGTAGTAGAGTGCCTTAGACCCCTTGTTGAGACCAAAGATTGGGATTATGTTGTTGTTTGGAAATATGGTGATGACCCAACAAGGTGCTGTTACATAATCCATTTTTCTTGTTTATTCTTTTCTTTTTCTTTTCATTGATTTGAGATTAAGGTTTTTTATATAACTTGACCCCATTTTTTTATATTTGTGTAGGTTTATTGAGTGGATGGGTTGCTGTTGTAGAGGGAGTTGCAGTGGAAATATTGAGCAGGTGAATCCCAAAGAGCAAATAGATGAACCACACCACTTGGCTCCCATTTGCAGGGATACCCATTTTCAGCATCTAGTAAAAACAAAGGCTTGTGAGGCTCTTGTGAGACTTCCTTTTGCAATGTCTTTGTATTCAGGGTATCTATCTCTCTCTCTTTCTCTTTTTGATTGTAGTTATTATTTTCTATATATATATAGGTTTTTTATATTTGGCCAAGGAAAGGAAACACTAACCAAAGTTATTTGATCCAGTGACCATGGGGAGGTTGCAATATCACAGCAACCAAGATGGCTTATTCAGGAGGTAAATTATATGGATTGAAGTATCAGACAATTTTCTGTTCTGTCTCTCACGTTTGATTTCTGAAGTTAACCCCTATTCATATGGTTGGCTTATTGATAATGCTTGAAACAAGTTAACATTTTAGTTTTATTGTTAATAAAAGCTTATTTTGGGGATGAGAATTAGAGAAGGTTCCCTGAAGTTTAGAAACTTAGAATCTTGTCCCATGTGGAAGGTTACCTGTTTGATACAAATTAGTGAATTACTATTCTTCTTGAGTTCTTTCTTTTAGTTTTCACGTGAGATTAATTAACCCTGATAAATTTCTTGCTGAAACAATCACCTTCTCAAAATAACTCATCAGTTACTTAAGTTCGTATCCAAACTAGTTAGGGATAAAAGTGATGTTGATGATGTTGATGCTGGTTGTCATGGGTAGGCATATTTGACATTTTATATGATATTCTTAATGGTTGCTCACCATATTTGATAAGATTATAAACATAAAATATCAATATTTTTTGACAGGATTCAATTGGAACTCAAGTTTTGATACCTATTGTTGGTGGACTTATTGAGCTCTTCACTGCAAAGATGGTAAGATATAGACTTTTAATACTTATTGGCATCATCTCTGATAGAAAACTCTTAATAAAGTATTCATCTTTCTCAGATTCCAAAAGATATAAATATCATAGAGTTCATAACAGCACACTGTTGTGTCTCTTTAAAGCAAGAAGCCATATCTTCGCAGAACTACACCAGTCCAAACTTCAACGAACATCTGCCATTAAAGGAACAACACCCACAGAGGTGGCCACCACTCATGCCAACTTTTACTCCTAGTGTCTATCTGCCAGCAGCAAACCAGTCCAGCTCATATCCTAGCTCTGAAGGACCCTCCAGTGGGTCTAATCCTTCAATTGAACACCCATCATTTGATTCAAAGTTTGTTTGCTTGATTCCGCAAGGATATAAATCTGTTAAAACATCTCATATCCCTAAAACTAAAAGGCCCAAGTACAATGAAACTTCAGGGAAACAGCAGAGAGGTTTGAGTTCCCATTTTAGCAATGGGGAAGAAGATAAAGCAAAGTTGGTCAGGGAGTCTCAAAATGAAGGTTACCATGCTAGAAATCTTGTCACAGAGAGGAATAGGAGGAACAAGATAAAAAAGGGACTTTTTACTCTACGGTCTCTAGTCCCAAACATAACCAAGGTAGCTAAACTGCATAACTCAAAAGCATACATATAATAGTTTTCTTTCTTAATTTTGCCTATTACTATTAATCCTCTGAATTCTGGCAGATGGATAGAGCAGCAATTCTTGGAGATGCAATTGACTATATAAAGGATTTGCAGAGGCAAGTAAAAGAACTTCAAGATGAGGCCAAGGCTTTGGATGTACAGGACTATGAAACGAACACACCACAATTGAGGATGCCAACAGGCAAAGATCAAGGAGGAACAGAAAGCCTCCCTCTAACTGAGCTCAATCAAAGTTCCTCTGAGTGCACTAAAAAGAAGCAGATGGAGGTACAAAGAGTTGGCATAACCTCTATGCCGTTTTTCCAAGACATGGATGAAACTGAATTTCAATACATCCTGTCTTAGTGACCTAATAGATTCTGTTAACATGTTCCCAGGTGCAAGTAGAAGTGCATCACATTGGCAGGACAGGTTTCTTGATTAAGTTATATCGTAAGCAGAAGCAAGGTGGATTTTCAAGGTTGATGGAAGCTATACATTCATTTGGACTGCAGGTGGCTAATGTCAATATGACCACATTTGATGGCAAAGTTCTGAACATTCTGACAGTTGAGGTAAGGGTCTAAGAAACTGGAATAATAGCAAAGTGCATTAATTTGCTAAAACTATGAAGAATAGGTTGATTAAAACTACTGCTTGAAAGCATTCATTCTTGTATCCTAGTCACCCCACTCTGCCAGTCCCCCTTTCCTACATTTGTTCATTGGATCTCCTTTCTAATGCAATGAGATTAAATTTTCTCCCACAGGCAACAAACAAGCAGGATATTCACCCAACGAAACTGAAAGAGTATTTGATACAGCAAACAGGTTGATGATAGACAAAGTAGCTAAGAAGTTCAGGAAAATGGTGGTGATTTAATGAGTTGAAGAAAGCAAGAGCTCCTTTACAAAGTGTAGTTATCAGTAAAGTAATATAAGTTGAAATATCGCTCCTTACCTAACAACTTGGTTCTTATCTGTAAATAAACAACACGCTACAGCTGAATAGAAAAAGTGGGACTAAAGGCATAAATTGTATATCCAATTTTTATTGGCTCCTCGGCAACAGTGATTTACTAATTCCTGATTATGGTTATGCCTCAAAACTATATTTGTATGTCTGGTAATCATCTTTTCTTGTGCTTATGGTGTGATATGGTTACATTACAGAAATATTCTCAACTCAAGTACTTAATGCCTTAAATTTAGAATGAAAATGCAAGCCACCATATCACTATATAAAAAATATTATATTTTCAATATCATTGTATAATCCCAAATGTGCTGTAAGAAACTCAAATCTTCCGAATTCAGCATCAACAAGAGATATCTACTGGACAATAATGGTTAAAAAGTGACCTCAACAAATTTATCTTTTTACAAGCTGCCAACATCCCCTGGTGCTAAACAAGAAAGGGGAAAGAAAATAGAACAAAAATTGGAGAGAGAGAAAAGAATCAAGTAATGCTATTATACAGGATTGGATATAGGTCATAGTTTTAAAGGAAAGGATCAATTTGCAAACTTTTTTAACAAATTTTTACAAATTACATTATGTACTCCCGGAAGTACACAGTGTAACCTAGTGTACTTCAAGGAGTACATAATGTAGTTTGTAAGAGTTTGTAAACAAAAAGTTTGTAAATATAACCTTTCTCTAGTTTTAATCCGTATAAAACCAAAAACTTTCATGGCTCATCATGCAATGTCACGGCCCATTAAGAGAATCTGGTGAAATTTATTGTTTTAAACCAGCAACCCCCAACTCCATTATGCTCATTGATCATTTCTGAGGTGCTGTGTGCTTTCCTTTATTCCCTGTGCTCATTCAGTACTGCTCCTATGCTTGTTGAAAGCTCTAGATTCTGAATGTTGGGATTCAGGCGTCTGTCTTGAAAAACTGTATTCTGTACTGTGCATATCAAATTCAGAACTAACAAAGCTGCCATTGGCCATCCTCCTGAATAGCATAATGTCTTTATCATACTGGCCAGAATCATAAATAGTGCTCTGACCAAATTTCACCCCATTAGATAGATCAGATATTTCATCTCCACTATCTAAGGCTCTTACCACCTGATATAAACTTCGAGAAACATTAGTAAATGGTTTAAATGAGTTGAGATACAATTGCTAGAATGGGAAGATAAGCTTAACAAGTACATGAATGTTTTGATTCACAACAATGTAGCTTTTCTTTTAGTATTATCATCACCTGAACCATACGAGGCCGTCTAGGAGCTGAATGGCGAACACAAGCTGCAGCTGCTTCAATCATTCTGAACATTTCACTCTCCACAAAGTGATTTTCAAGTCTTGGGTCTATTAGTTCCCCAAATTCACGTGTCTCAATTGCACGAAGGAGAAGTGGACGAGACTGTGGACACAGGACAATCTCATGAGTAAAGGGAATAACAAGAGTCATCCATTGAACAAGTTGATTTGGGAGCATAATTTCATTAATATAAAATAGACAGATGGAGGTGAGAACATATGTTCAATTCTCTCTAGTACCACCTTTGGGAGGGGTTTAAAACCTTAATCCTAGACCTGTCCCGAATTGGACTAGTCGCGAAACGATGAACCGATTGGAATATTTCCAAAAAAAAAAAAAAAAATGGACTAATAAAAATAAGGGTGTTGATGTTGATTCAGAAACTTAACTTCCATTCTTGTACTATTGTCTCTAGTTATTAAAACGAAAGTGGAGGGATAAGGGAAGGAAGGGAATAGAAAAACTTCAAAATTTTCACGGTATATATGACTTCACAAAACATGAAAATGGTTTATTCATACCCACTCAACCAAACTCTCATCTCCCAAAGGCTGAGTTTGATCAACAGGTTTTCTTCCAGTTATAAGCTCAAGGAGGACAACCCCAAATGAGAAAACATCTGATCTATCCGTCAATTTTCCACTTGTTGCATACTCTGGAGCCATGTACCTGCAAATTCAAGCTAGAATGAGTTAGTGTACTAATTTAATTAGACACTCCTGAAGAAGGTTTTCTGGAAAATCTATGTATATTATTAAACTATCTGATGGATCCCAGATAAAGCTTTTCGTTGTAAAATATAACCTTAAAAAATTTTAAATGATGTTCTTCAAAGCTTAAGCCTAGCTGTCTCATTGAAGTTGAAATCTACCTTATCTCTAAAATAACACTAATGAATTATAAGTTATAATCACTAACCAACAACATCAACCAAGCTTTATTTCAATAGTAGAGTTCAGCTACATGGATATATCGACAGCTATGGATTCTACTAAAAACCAAATTTCCAGTGAAAACTCTTAGAGAAAGGTTCTTTCAATTTGTTCCTCTAAAACTATTCATTTTACAATCTAGAAATATATTTCCCATTGATGGCAACTCCCAACCCCCATGAAGCTCCATATACATTAGATTCTTTTGTTATATTAAGACATAGGAAACCTACCCAAATGTTCCCATAACCCGAGTTGATACATGGGTATTGGCAGCATCGGCTAGCCTCGCAAGTCCAAAATCTGCAACCTGTATTAAAACAAGGGTGAATTAGCATCCAGACTTTGCAATTAGGAAAATATTGTTTTGATTAAAAAGTATATTTCATTGTGGTACATGACAAAAAGTAAAGTGAACGCATACCTTTGCCTCATAAGCATCATCCAAAAGTATGTTTGCGGACTTAATATCTCTGTGAATAATCTTTTGGCTGCCTAGAGATAGACAAAATACTTTAGTTATTCATAAAAATACAAAAGTTACCATTGAGACAAGAGATATTGACATTAAATATGAAATAGAAAAATTCTGCAGTGGGTTAGGGGCAGTTGTCTTCCAAAGCAAAAAGGTTAAATATGCTCCCTCTTCTAAAATTTTACCATGTATAAGTGAGAGTTGGTATAGACGTATAGTTGTAGTTCCCCACCTAAAATTGTGTTTGGAGAAATGTTCAAAATCCCAAGCACAGTCAATATTTCTATTCTCTTTAGAGTAAGAAAAAACAAATAGATAAAGTGACTCAAAAGAAGTACAGAATTCTTAAAGCGTGAAATGAACTTCATAATAGTGATAAGATTTAAAAGTAATTTATATTGTAACTTGTGAGACCTTATAAGCTATAGAAATATTTTCTGCATCCCTTCTAAATTCTGATATCTTAAAGTTCATCAAACTTCATCCACAGTTAGGGGATGAGAGGATAACAACAAAAGAATTAATGAATTGTTAGCCTTGAATTATACATACAGAAAAGGGTAGGACTGTAGAAGTTTCCTCAATGAAGAGAAAAATATGACTCTGTTGACAAGGATAACAGGCATATCCAATTGTATTATGCTATTCTTACACTACTCTCTGCAAACTTGAAAACCTACATACATCGTACAATGAGTTTAACTGAACCTAAATCTAAACTGTTTGGTTCAGATTTTTTACACATTTGCAAAATCATTTCCCTGACAATTTTTTTAAAATAAAGTTGTTTTTTCAACGTAAGAATATATAATCCAATAACAAAAATACAACATATACTTACAGTCCTCATGCAGATATGCCAGGCCCTTTGCAGCGCCAATTGCTATCTTCAGCCTCTTGTCCCAATCCAACACTGGCAGTCCACTTTCTGTAATAAAACACAAATGAGAACCAAATCATTTATACACAAAATATATAAAGTCCAATCTCTTTTTCTAAGAAAAATAAAGGGAGACTCACGTTACCATGCAAGTGATGATGGAGTGTCCCATTAGGAATATACTCGTAGATAAGCACTCTTTGCTGCTCAGATATGCAATAACCAACTAATGATACCAAATATCGATGATGAACACGACTGATTATCTCCACTTCAGCCCTGAATTCCCTATCTCCTTGTCCACTGCCAGCCTTAAGTTGCTTGACTGCAACTTCTTTTCCATCAGGAAGCCAACCCTTGTAAACACACCCAAATCCTCCTTCTCCAACAACGTTTTGACTAGAAAATCCATTAGTCATTTCCATAACGTTATCGTAGCTAAAAACTATTTGAGCACTCTTGGGCTGTGATGAATCTAAATGAGTTCCTCCTAAATGTTTCATGCTTCCTGCAATGTTCCCATTTCCATAGTTGTTTGCAAGAGAAGCTTGTGGGCCAGGCTGCTGTATATAGTAATGCCCATCAGCACCTGATGGCCAACATCATTAGTCCTTAAAATCAAATGTACTACGGCAATGAGTTACTAAAATGACCACAAATAATTTAAAGTTGAGAGCATAGAAAACTAGAATTGAGAAAATTAGAAACCGATACACAATATTTAATTCACTCCCTTTTAAACCTCTGCTAGCAAAGGTGAGATCAATTCTTATATGTAGTCTTATTCTTGCATATTTGCAAATAAGCTGTTTCCCATATACAAACGCAGACCTTTCAGTCACAATATTGGAGAAAAACTACTCCCCAACTAACCCTGGCTAGCAAGGAGGGCAACCTTTAACCACAGTCTTGCCGTGAAGTCAATCCTTACATGCTGTCTTATCCTTGCATATTTACAAATAGGTTATTTTCCATATTCAAACCTATGACCTTTCAATTACAAAGGAGCAAAACTACTTCCCAACTAACCATGAATAGCAAGGGTATAGGTGAAAGCAACCATTATACGCAGTGTTACTCTTGCACATTTGTCAAGAAGTTATTTTCCAAATTTGAACCCACGATCTTTCAATGAAAATATTTGTAATGAAAAATTAAAGGAAAAAACCACAAGGAAGAGTATCAGGAGAATTTCCACGCAACAATAGAAGAACTTGTAATTGTTCTCTCCTTGCAATTACCTGAATTTACACGAAGGATATTATTAGGGGGTGGCATATAGGGTGCACCATAGACATCTTTTGTTTTCTTCCTCCTAAAGGTGAAAATAACAACTACAGCAACTAAGGCAACAACGAAAACCCCAGCGAGGGTATATCCAATATATTTGCCTGCATTGTCACCGGAGGAGGAGCCAGGAGAAGAACCCCTTGAATTTGCATAAGAGTCACCACCACCGCCACTGCCACCACCACCGTGCATGGCTTGACGGTTTGACCCTGGGGCGAGGGGTGATTTGTTTGGTGAGTTTTCAGATATTCCATTGGTTGAATAATTGGAGGGTGCACTACGTGAAGTTGGAGAAGAAAATCTCTCAGGGGGAGGTGGGGCTTGTATCTGTGGCGGTGGTGGTGACAGTTTACGAGGAGAGGAAGAGTTGACATCGTTCAAAGTTGGCGGCAACGACGGCCGTGGTGGTGGTGGTGGCGATGGCGAGGGTGGTGGTGGAGAGTATGCTGGTTGAGAGGGAGGTGGTGCTGATGGTGGCGGTGGAGAGGGTAAGGGTGGTGGTGGTGGTGATGGTGATGGTGGTGGAGGTGGAGGCTTTGACCGATGCTGCGGCGGCGACGGAGACGGAGCACTTTCGGGAGAATCTGAATGATGAGATTTTGGTGATGGAGCTGAATCATCATCAGGAGGGTCCTTGTCCGATTTAGATGGTGAAGAATCTTTTGATGGAGAAGAATCATTGTCGTTGTTGGAGTGCTTGTGAGCCATTGATTTTCAGAATGGCAAGAAAACTGAACACCCTTCTTGTCCCTTCTTCACCAATTACGGTAAAAAACAGAGGAAATGCAAATGGAAGTGAAACAGTTTCCGTAAAACCGAAACTGGGTTTTGAGGATAAGAAAGAACAAGAACTTGGGTTGTGTTTTGTTTGTTCCAACATTGGAACAATGAAGCTAGATTCGTCGAACTGCGCAAGTTCTGCGAACAGAATTGCCAGCTCGATGCATCGCGTTGTGATGGAGGAGAGAGAATGTGGATTTTTGTGTGTCTGAAATTGAACAAAAAAGAAAAAAAGAAAAATTGTTGGCAATTACAAAATCATCATTCACTAGCCCTATAATCTCTCCGTATGTCATGGATTTTTTTTTTTTTTAGGAAAAGAGGAACATAGATTGTGTTGTTTAGTATTCTCGTAGATTCTTGTGTTGTTTCTTCGGGTTTCTTAAGGAGACAAGTGTCCTTCTTCTCCTTCAATTTCGGGTTACCGCGCAATTTAAATCGGGTGGAGCTTCCTAATTGACTACCGATTCTCCCTCGTTTGACCCGAGTCCATCTACTGCTAAAGGGGCTTTAAGCTTCTTCCTTTGTTCAATACAAATATAATTTTGTCGAAAAAAAAAAAATAGTCACAACTGCCCAAGCATTAGTTTATGATCTTTAGTTTACCGGCGAAACATATGCGAAAATGGCTAAATAAAACGAATAAGGATTGAAAGTAGATGCAGCTCTTAATAATGTCTTTATTCAATCAAAAATAAATAAATAAGTTGGGGGTTCAGAACGCCTTTAAATAGGCGATGAAAAAGAAAAAGAAAATAGAAATTACAACACTATCTCCATGAAAATAAAAATAAATAAATAAAAAAAACAAATGAAAATGATCTTGACAGCCCAAAAACAAAAAAAAAACAAAAAAACAAACAAATGTCGGGATTCATGGCAAAACGATGAAACTTAGTCAGAAGGCGGATTCCAAGGACTCAGTCAAATTTGAGCTCATTCTGAGATGGTTATTCCGGGTGCATATTCCTCTCATGTTAAGAAAATATTCGCCGTCGAATCTGATTTGTCTTTGCTGTCATCCTCAAGCTCAGAGTCCTCTTCATCAATATGATAAGGGGATAAGTCTGCTACATTAAAAGTCTGGGACAGATTGTATTCCCCTAGAAGTTCAATCTTATGGGCTTTGTCATTGATCTTTTCAAACACCTTGAAAAGGCCATCAACTCTAGGTTGCAGCTTGTTAAACTTGTTGGCAGGAAAACACTCCTTTCCAAGGTTGTTGAATCGTAAATCGTTCGGCTGCTTTTTTGTATCGTGAATCGTAAATCGTATCGAATCGTAAGATTCAGAAACAAATTAAAAATAACTTAAAAATATATAATATCATATAAATCCAAATTAAAAAAAAAATCTAAATACCAAAATCCATAAGTAACCAAATCTAAAACCAGCTATTTATCATATTCATTAAATTTCAAGACTAATATTATCACTACTATCACTATTAGAATCTAGTATTGGCATATCTAGTCCTTCATCCTCTCCATTAGTAGAGTCATCTCACTCATCTCCCATATCTTGTTCAATAATTTGAGATCCTTTTCTGTTATCATTCCTGTTGACATCCTCTTGTATTAAGATGCCTTTGCCTTTATCATTCCTATCATCTTGAAGATTTCGAGGACCTAAAAAAAAATATACATAATGTAAATAAATATATTAGATAAGGTGTTTGATTAAAAGAAATATTATATATGCAAATATACCTCTCTTTCTCTTTTTGCTTTGGTCTCCTTCAACAACGTTGAAGCACTCATGAATATCCATCCAAGATTCTTCATCCATTAGGCAAGGCTCCTCTTCTCAGTAATCCATTCCTCGTCAGAATCTAAATCTGATAAGCAGATAGGATCATATGTGTCTCCTTTTTCCTCCTTTTGTTTTTGCCTAATTTCAAGTTGAAGGTTGTATTTAACAAACACAAGAGCATTCAACTTTTGTTGCTCTAAAAGGTTTCTTCTCTTAGAGTGAATTTGATCAAACACACTCCAATTTCTCTCGCACCCTGTAGCACTGCAAGTGAGGCTTAGGATACGAATAGCTATTGTTTGCAGCTCTTTGCAGTAGTCTCCAAAACTATTCCACCATAAAGATAGCAAAAAAAATATAATTGATAAATAAATATTTGGTTAATGACTTAATTTTTAATTTTAAAAATATCAAAACATAATTTAATCAATACATAAAATTCGATGATTACCAGGTTGCTTCCTAGCTCTAGTTGCAATTGCTAAACTATTTACAAAGAGTCCTTCAGCCCTGTCAAATTTCTCAATTTGGGAATCAATTGTGATCCTTGTTTCAATATCAGGACACATCTTCTCAAATGTCTTCCACAAGCCAGTTTTAACCTCACGATCTGGGTTAAACTTTGTGTCATAGTGGAACCTATATAATTATTATAAATTTAGAATAAGGCTTAATAATAAATCAAATATAAAATATAAAGAATTTTATATAAATAAATAAATATAAAGAACCTATACTTACTTTGGATTAAGAAAATAGGCGGCTGCATGAAGAGGCCTATGAAGTTGTAAATCCCAACGCTTGTCAATGATTTCCCATACATCCTTATATCTCTTTTCCTCATGATTAAAACTCTTTGCTATTTCTTTCTTTGCTCTATCCATAGCCTCATAAATGTATCCCATTGCAGGTTTTGAATCACCATCCACAAGTCTAAGAACTTTCACAAGAGGAGACACAATTTTGAAGCAATAATGTATTGATTTCCAAAACCTTTTATTAGCCAAAACAACATTTTCTACAAATTTGGCTTCCGGCCTAGAGCAATAAGCATTATTAACCCATTTTTCAGATGTAAACATAGATCGAAGTGCAGTCTTTTGTTTCAAAATTGACTGCATTGTCAAATATGATGTAGCAAACCTTGCTATTGCAGGCCTAGCTAACTCTCTACCTTTGGAAAATGTTCTATACAAATTCAACACCCATGTGTGCCTATAAATGAAAGTTGTAATTTTTTTTGCTTTCCAAATGGTATTATAGAACACTGTAATGCCACCAATATCTTCCAGAATCAAATCAAGACAGTGGGCTGCACAGGGTGACCAAAAGAGTTGCTTTCTTTTATCCATCAACTTTTGTCCAGCAGATACAAGGGCTGAAGCATTATCTGTCACTACTTGAACGACATTCTCTTCTCCAATTTCCATCACCATCTCATCAAGTAATTCAAACATTTTTTCAGCATCTTTAATAAAGCTTCTTGTATCAACAGATTTTATAAAAACAGTCCCTCTAGGACTATTAACAAGAAAATTAGTAAGAGATCTACCCTTTCCATCAGTCCATCCATCTGACATCAATGTACAACCAGTTTTCTTCCATTCCAACTTATATTTATCCAAACTAGTATGGACAAGATCAACTTCTTTCTTCAAATATGACACCCTCACTTCATGATAAGTTGGTGGTTTTAAGCCTCTACCATATTCACTAATAGACTTCACCATATTAATAAATAGTGGACTCTTAACTAAATTAAATGGCAATGCATTTCCATATATGCATCTACAAATATCTCGAACCACCAAATCTCTATCCTTCACCATTGAATTTATAGTTTGTTGTTTCATAGCAGATGAGTCACTTCCACTTTTTCCTTTTATCATAAAACTATCCATGCTCCTTTTTTTTTGTGAATCTTTATCATCGAAGCACTCTAGTTCATCATCATCTCTTGCATCCTCTAATTTTTTTTAAATAGATCCCTTATCTCTTCCGGCACTTGTTGGCATGGAGCAACTTCTTTGTGTGTTCCAGCTAGATGGTGCTTCGTTCTAAATGCTCCTCCCCACATTGTTTTGGGACAATAGTTACATTTAACATTCAACCTATTCGCAAGGGATTTACAATGATCCCAAGTTATATCCTTTTGTTTTTGGGATTTCTTCTTTGGAGCCATTTTTATTATTTCTATTACTGTAAAAGAGAGAGAGAAAAATCAAAGGCAAAAAATATTACCCAAAAGCAGTTTGTCACTTGCGAACTCATTAAATATATTAAAATGATTGCAAGACCAAGTGTTTTTTCATGGTGAAACCACGTAACCCAAAGATGCAGCACGTACTTTTAATCAGCCCATCATCTTGTAGCCACATACCCATCAACTTTCAAGTTTCAACGGACACCACATATGCCTTACATAATATTTTAATATATTTAAGTTTTTAAAGTTAAATTACCAAACACCAATTATAAAATATTACCCAAAAGCAGTTTGCAAGCCTTCTTCACAGCTCGTCTCGTTCTCTCTGACTCTGAAATCTGAATGTCGTACTTCGCTTCGCTTCTTCACAGTTTGCAAGCAGTTTTTCGTTTTTCTTTTTTTTTCTTTCTGTTCTTTGATTCTCTTCTCTCTTTCTTGTTTTCTTTAATTTGTTTGTTTAATGGGATTTTGAATCTCTAATATTTCTGTTTTCTGAAGCAACCGACCTTTGAGAATCCAAATTTCGTGATCTTTCAAATTATGACATTTGATAAAAAAAATTTAAATTCAAATCCTGACTTTTGATTTTTTTTATTTTAAAAATTTGAATCGCACAATATTTACGATTCACCGATTCACAACTGAATCGTTCGATTCCACGATTCAGCAGGACAATTCTGTGCAAAAATGATTCAATGATGCTGTTCGAATCATTTTTTCCCTGTTTCGGATCGAACCATGCGATACGTATCGCGTATCGTGCAATACTAACAACATTGCTCCTTTCTTTGACGAATCCATAGCAGATAGCCCTCGTTAAAGACAAATCACTTCATGTGTTTATCCGATTGTTGCTTATATTTTATGTTTTGATTCTAACCTAAATGTGAACATGTGCATGTAGCTCCTTGATGTGCTTAACATGCTCTTTTGCGTCTGAGATGAAATAATTTTGCATGAGCAATTACGT